AATATATATATAAATTAATGTATATATAAATACAATTTTATCATTTTTAATTTAAATTTAATATTTTATTAATATATATATTTCTCTGATTATTGTCAGTATTATAGTAATATTTTTATTGTTAATTATTAATAAAAGTAAGTTAATTATTATAAAATAGTAAATTAAAATATTATATTATAATAATAAATAAAGGAATATTTAGTATAGAATATTAAAAATATTTTATATATTTTGTCAATTAAAAATTTATCAGTCATTTAATTGTAATAAATAAATAAACTAATAATCTCTATAATTATAACAATTAATAATATCTATAATTAATAATACTTTTAATTTTATATAATAAATTAGATATTTTATTGAAATTTTATTTATTTATTCATTACATATATTTTGTTGTAAACAATATTTTTTATAAAAAAAATATTTTAAACATAAGAAAGTATTACAATATTACTTCAATTTATTAATTATATTTATTAATTGCTTAAATTTGAATTTTATTTTGTATCTTTAAAACATAATATTCTAGATACTATAATAAATTTCGTAATCATATTCAAGATTAAAATTTATTTATGTTTATTAAAATATATTATGCAATATTAATAATTTTGTAATATAATTAAATATATAATATTTTTAATATGTATTATAATTATATTTAATTCATAATCTTTATAATAATTATTTTAATATCTAATTTGAATATCTTTGTAGAAATGGTTATAATGGCAGAAATTCGTGTCTCTAGTATTGTTTAAGTTTATGAAACTGAGTGACAAAATAGACATTTATTTGTTAAGAATATTGTAACGTGCATAAAAGTTTAATCTTTTGAGATTATTTATATAAAAATCTTTTTTTTAGACGAAATACTAATTATTGAAAACAACGTTTTCCCTATCATATTCATTCCGAGTCAACATCGACGTTTTTGTGTTTTTTTTTTATGCTCATTTACTTTGTTTATTATGAATTTAATGGATTTTTTCGCCTACTAACTTAACAACGGATTCAATAATATAGGTAATTAAATTTTGTCTATTTTTTCTTTAATATTTTCGTTATATAGATGTTATAACCTTTGCTTTCTTTGTGCTCGTTCTGATTTATATCTTTACAATGTCAAAATTGCCGTTTTCGTTTATTGTTTTTTCAAAATTCGTAAATTTTTTGTATAGTATGTAATAATTTTAATCTTAAGATATTAACAAAATATCCAAAAAAATTACTAAATCATTTTTGTTATGTTATTATGTTGTCATTTTTTATAGTAATTGAAATAACAAATTATTGCCATTAATGAGTTTAATATTGTATTAAATAATTAAATATTCAAATTATAATTTATATGTATATTTAAAATATAAATGCAACTTATAATAACAACTTTAAGTTGTAAATATAAATTAATTATATGATACAAATCCTATGTGACATAAAAACTATGTTAAAGTTTTTTAAATTTTAGTTTTTAATAAATAAATTTTTTTATAAAATTAATTTTTATTCTTTATAATTTATTTGTAAAATATAAAAACTTTTTTAAAAATTAAAATTAAAAAATTAAAAATAATATAATTTTTAATATAATATAATAAAATATAATGCATAATTATTTAAATAAATTAAAAAGTAAACAAATATTTTATATATAAAAATATAGATTATATATATCCATAAAATTTCTGGAGTGCTTAAGTGGCATCTTCACAAAAATAAATTCTTCGATTGCCAATAGGTCCATACTTACTTTCCTGTCTTCGATTTTGATATGACCATTGCCATGATGCTGTGATAAAGAGGTAAAAATTAAATAAATACAATTGAAATTAAGAATAAAAACAATAATAATTAATTTTCAATAATAATTAATAATTTAACTCTATCATATATTTGTTTTTACCTCATCATTACAGGTTGCTACTAGGAGTTCTTGTCATGGATTATCTTCAGTTCCATGAAATTGAACAACTTACAAGTGATGCAATAGAAAACAAGTGATTGTGATAATTGACATAAAAGTGTGTTGGTGTGCCCTAGCAGGTACTTTGTAGTGGAGCCACCAGGCTATGGCTAACCTGAACTTTGAGCAGCCACCACGCAGTATTGCGAACGCAAGCCTTACATCGCGCACAGGTGGGGGGGGCTTAAATTCATCGACCCTTACGGGTCATGTCACACCTACCTCGGGCATGTTCTCAGGCTCATCCACAAGCACTTCCAGTTCAGCTAATTCTGCGGTAGTAGTTACTAACGTTTACCCTGGAGCATCAGGAACAGGAGGTGGACAAAATAATCATCAACCTCAACAACAGCAGCTCTCTCCTATGGGCAGCAGAGGACTGTTTGGGCAGAGAGCTTTTACAGATAGACGTACAATGCCTGCTCTTGGGTTAGTTTTTTCATAATAGTGGAAAATTTTTCATTTTTGTTATATTTTATTTTATTACATGTTTATTATATTTTATAATAATCTTATTTATTATAATACTGAAAATATTAATATAAATTTATAGAACTTCGAATCCAATGGGTAGCATGGGCACATTTGGAATACCTCAAAGTCGTAATTACGGATCTCAAATCAATAATTTTCACTCTGTTTTTGGTAGTGGAGGAGGTGGAGATACAAGTACTCCTCCATTATTGGATCTATCTGAATTTCCTTCATTAACGAACAGAGGACAGGGTGATTCTATGCCACAACCTAGTCCTATGCCAGGAAAACAACCTTATGGTTTGTATTTATAATAATTTAAGTAATGATGTAATAATAATATAATATATTAAGAGTAATATTAATGATTTTTTTTTCAAAAAGTTCATATAAATTATAATTAAATTCATTGTTTGAAAAATATCATAATTTTAATCCATATTAAATATATATGATAATTAAATATATTTAATTATATTTATACCAATAATAAATTAATAAAATTAATAAATAAATTAATAAAATATCAATAATAAAATTAAAATTATATATATATATATACACAAATTTCATATTTAATTTTTATATTTACATTTATAATTATAGTTGGAATGGTAAAACAACCAACATCCGAATCAAGTGAGTTTACAATGAGTTCTGAGGATTTTCCAGCATTACCAGGAACACAAAATAGAGAAGGGCCATCACCAGGTGGAAGTGTTTCTGGAGATAAAAACATATCTGTTGGACTTGGCCCTGAAATTGGACAAGATGTATTACAAGCAAATAGAGCACCTGGATCAGAAAAGTCTCAATCATCTAAAAGAGGCATACAAACATCTCCTGATGGTATTTATTATTATTATTTAATATAATTATATTTATAAATTAAATTTATTATTTAATATTATTTTATAATATTTTACTAAATTCTTTTTTTTTTATAACTGTTTATTATTATGTTATTTAGGTAAAGTGACCAATATACCAGCTAGTATGGTAAAAGACCAGTTTGGAATAGTTGGATTATTGACATTTATTAGGGCAGCTGAAACAGATCCGAATTTAGTATCTTTGGCATTAGGTCAAGATTTAACTGCGTTAGGATTAAATCTTAATTCACCAGAAAGTCTTTATCAAAATTTTGGTGGACCTTGGGCAGAAACACCATGCCGACCTCAGGATATTGATTTTCATGTACCACCAGAATACCTTATTAATGCCGCCATCAGGTATCTTATTTTATTATATAGATTTTTATAAATATAAATTATTATAATAATTAAATTTATATTATGTTTATTTTAGAGATAAGTTAGCACCAGTTAAATTAAATCGATACAAGGATGATCTACTATTTTATATGTTTTATACAAATGTTGGAGATGTATTGCAATTAGCAGCAGCTGCAGAATTGTAAATATTTTTTTTTATTTATATATTCAAAATTTTTAATATTTTTTTAGTCAATTTTTAATAAATATATGATCTTATTTGGATTATAAAGGTATAGTAGAGAATGGCGATATCATATGGAAGAAAAGGTTTGGATAACGCAAGCACCAGGATTAGGACTTGTAGAAAAAACATCAACATATGAACGTGGTACTTATTATTATTTTGATGCGCAAAGTTGGAGAAAAGTAGCAAAAGAATTTCATTTGGATTATACAAAACTAGAAAGTAGACCTCATCTTCCCACAAATTTTCATCAAACCCAGCCTTGACTACAGGTATTTATAAAAATATAATTTCTTATTTAATTATTATTTTTGTTAAATTGTATCTAAAAAGTTATAAATATTTTTATTAAAAATTTTTTTGTTGTAGATCTGCTTGCAGACCATTGTACTGTCTTTAAGTTGGACAGGAAACAACTATTGTATAAATGAACAAATTTAATAATCTTTAATAAAAACATAAAATTTGAAGAGTACAGAAATGAAGTTCTTTAATCACTGACTCAATTAGAAATGGAAGTGAGTCTAATGTATTTGATATTGACAAATGATTTTGATACATGATCTTATGTGTTAAATATTTAGATGCTTATATATAGAATAATGTACTTTTCAATAATATAATGATCATTATGATTTTAGCAGTGTATATAATAAAAATAATAAGTAGTACTGAACTAAATTTTGACATTTAGGCAACTCAAAATACAATATGTTCATAAAATCTTTATGTATATGATCATTTATTTTGTACCTATGTAATTAAGAATGTAAATGAACTGTTTTTTAAGAAACAAATTTATTTTCATAATTTTTCATATTGCATTTATTTTTTCTTAAATTTTATTAATTTTTTTTATTATCTATCAAAATTAATAATAAGCTACATTAATGTAAATTTTTATATGTACAAAATTTTTAAAAAATATTGAATTGAAATAGCAAATATAAAAATATCTTTGTTTAAAATTTT